CTTTTAAGATGCTAAACTCATCATTTTAGTACAATCTTATATACTAAAAGTACACGATTTTTATGAATATTATTTAAACATATTTCATTTAAATGTGCGCAATTTTTTACAGGGTATCTACATTTTTACGCGTCTGTGAAAGCTGAATATACACTATCAATTGAACGTTTTCGAATGGTTTAGATTTCTATATGGGTTATCTAGACTTCTATGATATATGTACCGAAAATATAGTTGTGATAAAGATTTTCATATATATTTACGAGATACTTTTATTATGTATACCATAGATCATATAAGTTTTCTATAGTTATGTCCTAATTTCTACGTCGACTATAAGTATATTATACTGCATACGGTGCCTGGTAATACATCATAATTGGCACAGTGGTAAAAAGTCATGATGTATGGTCACCAGCTCAGGGGGAAGTAAATAAAAAATTAGAGTATGAACGAAATTAACAGTTTTATCAAGTTTAAATTTAGATATGATTATTAAATATCTATGAAAAATGTTATGTTACATAAGGAGTCTTTTTATTTTTCTAAACGTATTTTCAACGATGTTGATTAACCTTTGGAAGATATCTACTCGAGCATTATATATTTTGTATGCGTCGTGAAGTGAGTAGATATTTGTTGATTAACAGTTGATATATAATTTTCATCGACAATAAACATAGATATTTATATATATCATTTAGATATTATTATAGGTGGATGATGGACGATATGCATTTGCGATACCTACAGACCCAATTAAGACGATTAATTTACGTATATTCCACTTCATAGGTTGCCTGGGTACCACCGAGTACTTAACGCCAAGGAGCCAAATTTCAGAAGTAGGGGAAAGGGGTATCTGCTCTCTCCATTACCATAGAAAAAGAAATGAGCGTTTAACCAACTCATAAAGTCAAGCAAAAAATCAGGAATTTATAAAATTTACCTGACCCAGATCAATAGTATGTTCGCGAAGATATGGCAGTTTCAGTTTTTATATTCGTTTAGAATCGTTATAGTTTATCAACATTGTTGTCCTCGTTCACGTATCATGATAGGTTGACTTTCGTGCTGTTTTCGTACAGCGTATTGAAACGTACCCTGCAGTACGAATACTAACTACACTAACGCGACATTCCATTCAGTTGTGGTCTCTCATTTACTGGTGGCGCTAGTGTACATAAGTTATCGTCGGAACCTTTGGTTTTTTTTACAATAGCATTTTGCTTTGGTCAAGTAGACGTTTCAGTATCGAAACTCGATCAGTGCCACTTGAAATATAAACTCCAGCGATCTCATGTATATAAATAGCGCGAGTACTTATGTATACAAATAACCTAAAAATGTCAAACAACTGCTGATTACAGTTGTTTGACATTCATTTTGGAACTCCGTAGATACTGAAATGGAAACACATAATGTTCAGCTAAGGGAATAATAATATATACACCGACGATGAACACATACTGTGACATCTATCCTGTTCGTCGGATACTTGAGTTCACAAAAAGGGCACTAGCCTGAGAGACTCACCCTTGGGTCTCCCAGGGCCCCTAAACTCTACCTCCGCCCTGGCTCGAACTCACACTTGAGCACTAATTCGTAAACCGTTTGGGTGTAGATGCCCCAGAACGCCAAATCTTTAAGTTCGTTCGGTCTCCTTCCCTAAGGCCTTTGACTCTTCCCGCGAGAGCAACACCGAAAGGCAAGGGCGAAGGTTTATCCCCGGCTTCCCCGAGGCCCGTCTTCGAAGAAGAGTCCTAAAAAATTCTCTATGCTCAAAAATTCCACGGGCCGGGGAGAAGGGCCAGCTAGCTCAGATAAGTTTGCAACCGAGGTGGCCGCGGAGAGGGGCGAGAAAAGGGCACTTAACTCAGCGACTTTAATTTGTCCAGATGGGACCCGATTTCCGTCCCATAAATGAGAAGAAAGGTTTGCCTCGATTATTTATATAAACCAAACTCAGATTAAAGGGTTAACAACAGAGGCGATTTATACATCCGAGGAATTGAGCCGAATCGAAAAAGAATTTAACACAAGTAAATTTTACAAAGAGCCCAAGGTCTAATACCCGACATCAATTCGGAAATAGGAATGTGCAACGCCGACGCGCCGAGTAGAATTGAAATAATTGTCTGAACGGCAATATGGAAAGGAACCAGGGTTGTAAAGGAGAGGAATCAAAGGGATAAGGGACTCTCTCCAATCAAATCTGAAGAGAACTTGAAAGCAATCGCGCAGCCGGAGGCGCGCGAGACAATTATTACAAAATTTGGTTGCCTGGAAACTACACTCACAAGGAAACATTCCCAAACGTCCCAACCCGATTTCGATGATTTTTATATATGTTGTAGAACTCGAAAGTCTAAGGGACACGTATTTTTTTTTACGTGCTAAGATTGATATCTAGGGGGTGAAACAACCCCTCAAAGTTTGATTAAAAAGTCGATTTTTCTTTTTCTTTCATAGAAGCACTCCACTGATTTCAATAAAACTTGGCATAAATATATCTCGTGTAAGGAAGATTCAGAAACGCTACCACCCTACACAGTTGCACCCCCTCGACGGGGGTAAAGTACCCTTATCAATAATTTTTTTCTTTTTTTTCGACGACAAATGATCCGATCGAAATAAAAACTACATGCCGTTAATGCTTGCATTAAATAAGAGTTTACAAGTGCCTGGTTTTTTCCGTAAAACCGCAATTTAACAATATAATTATTAATCAAGGGCAGGTAGTGTTTTTTATATAAGTACTAGATGGATTTGCACAAAACTCGGTACGAATATATATCGTGTCGGTAGGATCCATAAACGGTACCATCCGGTACGGGAGCATCCGTCTAAAGGGGTGAACTGCCCTTGAAAAGGAAAACAAATCTTTTTTTTTCGAAGACAATTCATCCGACTAGAATAGAAATTTCACGACGATGATTCTTATGGAAAATAAGGGTTCATATGTTTTTAGTTTTCTTTCAAAAACCATTATGTAACGTGGTAAACATATTTCAATGACAGGCAATATGTGAAATTCCGTATCTCTGTCCGGTCGCGGCATAATCATTTTACTCAAACATCTACATGACAGACATTGTTTTCACCGAAATTTCTCCCAGCCGTACACATAAATTATCATTCAGTCCACAAATACGAACCTTATCCTACATGAATTGCCTCGCAATACATTGTACAACATTTTCGTCGTGCATTAAAAATAAACCACTACGCCGTTGTCTATCACTTATCTTCGCGAGTCCAAAGATAAAAATAGATTAGTTGTCTTTGCAAAAATACGTACGGAGGACTTGTGAACAACGCCAACATATATGTATAAGATTTTGCGTCGGTATATAAATAAACGAATGGTATAGCAGGCAGATGTGTGACTCTTTATAAAATCTGTGCGTGCATTGCGGCTTAATAATCGTTAGATATTCTTCAGTACAAAGAGTTTTTAATTACGTCAGCGCGTTCCGATTTTTGAAATATGTTCGTAAATCCAATGAACGCGATTAATTTACTGCTGGCAACATTTCAAACAATGCATTTCTTAACGACTGATTTGAAGCAAGAAGTAATTCTAAAAGACTCGATTCAAAAAATTCTTTTGGGCAATATATTCTACCACAATGCTTTAGAAATAATCGAAGATTCGACATTGGATTTTGAAGAAGCCGCTTTAGAAATGGACGCAGAATATGTCGACGATGCAGAAGATTGGTGTGAGGAGGTGGGGAGGAGGGGAGGTGTGAGGAGGTGGGGAGGAGGTGAGGAGAAGAGGGAGAAGAGTGGTATGAGAAGAAGGAGTGCCTGGACCTTCTTTATTTGTGTACCCTCGTCCAGTGCAAGAGGATATTGATTTTGATTACAAAAAACGAGTAGTAGATTACTGGCGGAGTGGAAGAAACGACCATCGCAAGTTTTCCAGTGTCCAGAATCAATTTAGAAAGCTTTCTGATCGTCGTCAATTAACGAGGTGGGCAAAACAAGTGGATGAAGGAGGGACTCGGAGAGAAAAATTGATACACGTCTCGAGATTACATTTAACAAATTACAGAATGCTATCGAAGCTGGATTAATAGTGCACGATTCAGATATTAAAAAATGTGCTTTAGAAGCTTGGGGAGAGTAGAACAGCGACAATATGCAATTCATGGTTTCTGCAAAATGGATATACAATTGCAAAATAGCTTTTATCGTATTGTTTCTAGAAAAATCACAAAATTTATCTCAAGGAAGACAGTAGAAGATGTTGAGAACTTGGAAAAATCAGGTGATGAGTTTGTTAACTCTGTGAAGGTTCTTATAGCAGAGTACGGGCCTCAAAATGTATATAATTCTGATCAAAGTGGATTCCATCTCGAAGTTCGTTAGGACGTACGTTAATGTATGAGGGAACGCAAAAAGTGGAATGCAGTGCTCAATCCATATCGGCCACAATTCACAGTCATACGATTCAACCAATAATCTCTTGTGATGGTCGATTATCACCTTTATTGATAGTTTTAAAGGAACTAGGTGGTCGATTTGGGCCTCTAGGAAAAAAAAACATTATATCAACCCTCAAATGTGTTTCTTCTACCTTCATTATCCGGCGAAATGACGTCAGGCAATGACGTACTTGACTATTTTTTTATGAATGCAATCTACACGGACGTCCCGGTTAATAATACTTTGGAATTACAGGTCACTTTAAAACCTGGCTGAAAGAAGTGCTTTTCCCAAACACCGGACGGAGAAGTCTTCTCTTACTGGACTCCTGGAACGGTCACTGCAGCAATATTATCGATGAAATGGAACCTGCAGATAGAGACGTCATGTTGATGACCATACCAAAAAGAACTACCGAACGAATTCAACCTTTAGACGTCTATGGTTTTAGAGTCTGGACAAATTTTGTGAGACGTTTCTGTGACAACGTGTTCTTACACAATTACGATGGCAATCGTCATTTGCGAAACAATATTATAAAACTGCAATCGCTCGTACATAATCAATTATCTTCTCCTAGATATCAAAGCCTTTTTCAATATGCCTGGTTCAAAAGTGGATATGTCCATGAAAGTCTTTTCCGTTGCCAGCTGGAGCCCTCTATCTTGTAGCCAGTTGGAGACTCGCTGGAGAGCGATATTCGCCGTGCTCCTAAGTAATTCCTCCCCTTTAGCGACCACCATCATGGCCACATCGTCCGCAAATCCTATCAGGGTGACTCCTTCCGGCTGTTCTATCCTGAACAGTACATTATGTTCCATAACGTGGAGCCCAATACTGAGCCTTGTGGTACGCCGCTGTTTATTCGCCTTGTCTAAGGGTTTCCTTCTGCCCCTAGAATGATCTCTCTCCTTGATAGGTATGATGCTATTAGGTTTATGAGGCTTTCTTTGACTCCCCTTCTTCTTAGCTCCTTTAATATCTTCTGCCAGGATATACTAATAAATGCGTTCCTGACATCTATGGTTATTATCCCGCATAATTTCCGATGGGACCAGGAGTAGTTTCTCTCTTTCTCGCGCGCTATCCTCAGTACTTCTCTGATGGCGTTCACTGCCTGTCGCCCTTCTTTGAAGCCGTATTGCTGTTCCGACAGGCCGCCGCTGCGTATGAGTTCACCGTTTAGTCTACCCAATATCAGGTATTCGTTGCAACGCGGCTTGCCTGACTGCCGGGGCGCGCTGGCAAACGGGGGGACGGATCGGGGCCCGTAGGTGAATCGGCCCTCCGCGAGGTCGGCCGGCGGAGGTTAGCCCGAGGTCCGCAAGGCCACTTACATTTTTTGATAGGGCGCCAGGCGCGAGAATCGCGCCGCGGCCCGCGGTTTCCCGGCCGGGCTAGGCCGACGTCGCGGGGCGAGAAACGGCCCCCGATCGCCGGCTACTCAGCCCCGCGGCAGTCCTTGCGACTTTCCACGGCACGGTAGAGGCGGGGGGTTCGAGGTCCACGGAACTTTAAAAGAGGCCGTGTAACAGGCCGAAAGAGAGGAGGTGAACCAAAAATAAAACAACGGAAGTTGCGGATACGCAAGGCGGTAGTAATTTTTATTTCCCGTATGTCTCACATGGGCGGAATGACTCTAACACAATCAAACGGCGACTTCGGGATCCCACCGGCTTAATTCGAAACAACGGGAGCCACCTGGCTCCACGGGACGGGCGGCGATGCCTACGTCCCAGGGCACAACGTCCTATTTGACTTCGCTCGGTCCGCGGCCTGTCAACTCGACTCCGAGAGTAGCGAAAATTACGGGATCATCCGCGGAATTACTTACGTCGCGGAATCGCCCCTTTTCAATGCCGCGGGATCACATTCACGGGACAATTTTACACACAACGCGACACACGGGAGCTCGCCGATTCGCACCGCGGGAAATCGCCTATGAGCGCACCCGGCGCACGCGGTCAGACGCCATTACGGGATGGCCGGGAGGTACGCGCCGAGGAGGGTCACACGAACTCTAAATTTAGGCGAAACGATAACGGACTCAAAAGGAAATCCCAGATAGGTTTGCTCACCCTACAATCTCCGCGGGCGGGACGACAGAGAACTCTTCTCGGCGGGATCGGAAGCGAGGCGGTAGTGGTACTCTAGCGGCGGCAGCTCGGCTACTCGGTGCGTGTGTACCGGCGACACTCGGCGTATCCAGGACACTGAGGGCCCGAGAGCCGGCCGGACCGCCCGAAATTCGTAAACGCCCTACTAGATTCTTCCCGCGTACGCGAGACCGTTCGGCGCTGGATGATTAACTAGACCTACGCAAGATGTCAGGGCCCGTCTCGCGGCGCGCTAAGTACAGTCCCGACTCCCGAAGACCGCCAATTTCGCGATAGACAAACCCTCCCTTTGAAAATCCTTCTCGACGCGGCCTACTTAACATTACTTATAATTAGGGTTACATTATAGACCCGGTACTTACGATTAGTGATTGTTCCTGGACACCCCGAGCGTCGCCACCCGATACTGGAAATAATTTACTAATGGTTTCGGTACTTACCGCTCCCACCCCGCACCGACTTGTAACGGTCACGTTACATCGTAGAGCTTTCCTTCCACATCCAATAGGCATATCGGCCTATATGAAGCCGGGTTGTCAATAGGCTTATTTCCTTTTCTTAATAACAGCAGTCTGGCACATTTCCATTCCGACGGATAGATTGCTCTATCTGCCAGGTTATTATAGACTGCCAATACATATTCGGGCTTATTCTTAGCGAATTCTTTGATTATCTTCGGTGGAATGTTTCCAGGCTCGGGTGCCTTATTCTCCTTTATTTTACTACACGTCACACTTAATTCTTCTAAACTAAAATCAGTAAATACCACATTTATATTACACTCGAATATCACTTCCTCATGCACCGGGAAGAGGTGGTCTACGACCTCCTCCACGGTTTGGATGTCCATTTGCAGTCTGGGAAGGGAACCGATCATCTTTTTCGTGACGATATTATAACCCACCCCCCAGATATCACAGTCTACTTCATCACAGAGCCTTTTCCAGCTCGCTCTTTTGTCCGCCTTAATCTTTTTCCGGAGTCTCCTCTTTATTTCTTTGGATTCCTCCCATAGGTGCCTAGTTTCTTCCGGCGCACTGCCTCTTGCATTCCTGGTGTAGGCTTTTCTTTTTCTTATACACTCCCTACGGAGCTCGGCTATGTCTGCGTTCAACCAGTATACCGGTTTGCCTCTAGGGTTAGTTTTTAATTAGACATCGATTGGTCACATATCCGGCTCAGAGCGTGTAAGAAATCTTTTGCCTCAACTTCTTCGTGGCTCATTTCCATTTCTGTTAGCACTTGTACCAGTTTTGTTTTGTCCAGCTTTCTCACCTGCCATCCTTCGTTCTTTGCTCTTTCCCGATCTGGCATTCGGTTCTCTTCTACTACTTCAAAGGATATGTAATCGTGGTTGCTCAGGGATTCATATTCCAACACTTCCTAGTTAACAATGTTTCTTCTTATGTCAGCCGTCGCTAGAGTAAGATCCAGGATAGAGGAGTAGTCCCCGTTATGGAACGTAGGTTTATTCCCCTGGTGTACGATCACTAAATCGTTTTGCGCTATTCACTGTGCGATCACCTACCCTGTCCTATCTTCTACTCTCTAACTCCGTTGTGGGGATTTCGCATTGAAGTCTCCTACTATGACTGCTTTTTCTTTATTCGACCTGATATGCGCTTCGATTTCTGGCAAAATTTGTTCGAGGTCTTCAATTTCTTTATTTCCTGTGGAATGGCAGTTGTATATTGTGCATGCTGTTGTGGTTATATAGGTAAAGCTGTATCCACGACCCTGTCTTTTTACAATGATGCTGCGATCCATCACTTTTATAGCGGTGTCTATATCTTTGTCGCATATCCAGTCTATCCTGTTTCTAACGGCATGTCGGTTTGGTTCGCTCATGAGGACTATCCTGACACCTATCTCATTTGCAGTGGATAGGGCCATGTCATAAACTGGACGACTCCTGGGGTGTTTATTTGCAGCAGTTTTTAATTCTTATTTTGTTGCGGTGTTTGTGGCGTCTGCGTCTTGTTCCCATTCTTCATTGGACATTTTGGATTTCCAGATTGATGTCCATCCAGGTTGCAGTGGACGCAGAACGCTATGTTTTTGCAGTCCGCTGCCTTATGCCCCTGTTTACTGCACTTCAGACACAGATTATCCCTTTCGGGGCCCTTACATTGCGCCTTCGCATGCCCATATTGCCAGCATCTGAAGCACTTTAATTCCTTTTTTCTTTCAAGGATTCTGCATCTCGTCCACTCTATTCTTATTCTTCATATATCAATAAGTTTTTGGGCATCTACTTCTGTCATTATCACAGTGGCATTTTGTCTGCTTCCATAGGCTGGTCCCAGGGCTCTTACCTCGATGTTTTTTTATTTAACAGGGGCGGTCTCTAAAATGGCTTGTCTAATTTCATCCTCCGTCGTCACTTCATCTAGGTCTCTTATATGGAAGACTGTTTTATTCATTAGGTGGGATGTTTTCGCCTGCGGCATCTTTTCCCCAATTGCCCTCTTTAATTCGCTTGCTTTGTCGCATCCGTTCTCTACTGTAAGCTTTGAGGGGTTGTTTCACCCCCTAGATATCAATCTTAGGATGTAAATAAAAAATTACGAGTCCCTTAGATTTCCGAGTTCTACAACATATTGTGACGTGGCATTCCTGAGGGGGAAATGCCGTCACAAGACGGTACATTTTTTTTTTCCATCGCCTACCCCGGTCATGAGGAACCATGGGTCCGGGCGACGGTGGCTGGAGGGGGCTGGGATGGTGAGGGCTGTTGGACCGAATATACTTACAAGGAAGGTACCTGAGGTGTCCCCCTCCGATTTTCTTCATTTTTAAATATGTTATAGAAGACTAAAATCTAAGGGACCCGTGTTTTTTTTTATCGGCGGATAAACACTTTTAGGGGGTGAAATCAGGCTTCAAAGTTGGCCGTGAAAGGGGGTGAGTTGGCTGTTTCATATAGAAGCACTCGACCGATTTTCATGAAACAACCGTCAAAATGTAGGGAATGAAGAATTATGAAACATACATTTGGAACTTTTTGAAAATATTCATTTATAAGGGGTGAGCCACCCCATTGAATATTTCTTTTACCCCTTACGCGAGCAGTAATTGCTCTATCCAAATGAAACTTGGTTAATTTATAGACCAGAACAATACAAAAAAAGGTTATTTTGGTTTTTTTCGAAAAACGAATTTTAAGGGTTGTAACAACCCTTTAATAAAATGATGTATAATCTCGTTTTAAAACCAGCTTTGTACGATTTCCTTGGACTTAAAGGACTTTAACGATTAAAATTAATAAGAGAATACGATCAGGTACCATCCGATACATTCGAAGGGTAAATTACCCCTTGGGTTCAAAGGAATGTGATTCGTAGAATATAAGACAGTGGAGTTAGCTGTCCTCGCAACTAGTGCGTAGCCGAGTGGTAACGCCGCGCGAGCGAGCAGTATGCAGTGCCAGGTTTTCAAACACTATATGTAAGTAATATTTCGGTTTGTTCAGTTTCGTTCGTTATGTTCGGTTTCCATTATCAGTCTACTTGATATCAAAGAACGATTGTTATGAAATATTACTGCGAAGGAAAAATCGAAAGTGAGTCACATGTCTGGACGAATCATATAGACGTATTACATTGTTTTATATTTAGATTGTATTAATATAAAAACTGAACGTAACCGTGTTTGTATTTTTCATTGCAACTGTAGTTCTTAAAAATGAGAGAATTAAATATTACTTACACGTAGTGGTTGAAAACCTGGCACTGCATACTGCTCGCTCGCGCGGCGTTACCACTCGGCTACGCACTAGTTGCGAGGACAACTAACTCCACTGTCTTATATTCTACGAATCACATTCCTTTGAACCCAAGGGGTAATTTACCCTTCGAATGTATCGGATGGTACCTGATCGTATTCTTTTATTAATTTTAATCGTTAAAGTCCTTTAAGTCCAAGGAAGTCCTACAAAGCTGGTTTTAAAACGAGATTATACATCATTTTATTGAAGGGTTGTTACAACCCTTAAAATTCGTTTTTCGAAAAAAACCAAAATTTGCTTTTTTTGTATTGTTCTGGTCTATAAATTAACCAAGTTTCATTTGGATAGAGCAATTACTGCTCGCGTAAGGGGTAAAAGAAATATTCAATGGGGTGGCTCACCCCTTATAAATGAATTTTTTCAAAAAATTCCAAATGTATGTTTCATAATTCTTCATTCCCTACATTTTGACGGTTGTTTCATGAAAATCGGTCGAGTGCTTCTATATGAAACAGCCAACTCACCCCCTTTCACGGCCAACTTTGAAGCCTGATTTCACCCCCTAAAAGTGTTTATCCGCCGATAAAAAAAAACACGGGTCCCTTAGATTTTAGTCGTGTATAACATATTTAAAAATGAACAAAATCGGAGGGGGACACCTCAGGTACCTTCCTTGTGAGTGGGAAATAATAACTAACATCTATCTTCCATGTTACTTTTATGCTACATAACATGTTTGTTTCGAAAACGTAACATTTATCCAACAGTTATATAACAGTGTTCACTGGGTATGCATCTTTATTAAATATTGAAAACAAACCTGTATCGAGCGTGGATTGAATTAGCGTTCCAGCGTTCCAAGTACTACCGCCTTAACAGTTAAGCTATCGACTGTTTCTACACAATTTGGTAATTTATATTATTACCCCCTCTACCGTCCTATACATCCCTCTCTCTCGGGAGATCACTGGGAGAGAATGGGGATGACGAAATAAGGGTAAGAATGAAAATGAAGACGGTCATAGCTTGCGAGAGGCTCTGTATCTGGCTTATCAGTGGTCAACTTTGGTGACGTCTCTCCTTGGATCGACCTAGCCAGATGACTGCGCGGGAAGATTTTCCATCTTCAACCCGTGACGTGCCCTAGGTTTCGAGGTGTTCTACAAGCCTCCCCGTCCAACGAATGTTGCAGTGACCCCCCCCCCCAAAAAAAAAAGCCCTGTTGAATTGCCGATTGTTGGTTTTATTAGCAGATTTGACAGGGTGTTTTAATTGGTGGAAGTTCCCAGAATCTAGGTGAGGGCAGTAGTGCAGGTTCTGATGCGCTGCAGAGTCATCAGGATATGATTTTGGGTCGATCGATGGCTTCTGGGGTCACCTTGGTCGATGATCTGGTTGCGCCAAGTGAACTTTTTCGCAAGCTTATTTCCTAATCGCATGCCCGTTCACAGAATTCCATAGCTATCTGCTGGATACCACCTATGATTATCCTATAATTTCAGAAGTACCGAGAGTGCCTTCATAACACAAGCTCGAGCCACCTTCATTATTATTTAATTTTTATTTCATCTTCTCCATCTCCGAACGAATTGAATAAAGGTTGTTACGTAGACACCCTCCGTACCCTAACGTAGGGAAAACCCCATTTTCCGATCGCCGGAGCTAGCCATGGAAATCCGAATACGGAAACGCGATTAAGAAACTCTTGCGAAAGAATCCAAAAATTCATCGGCCAAACGGCTCCAAAAGTCATCGATCGACCCGGGGCAAACAACCTGATGACTAGCAGACGCATCAGCACGACTCAGAAACGCCACCCTGACCTGGGCCCTAGGCAACCCTCACCAATTGGAACACCCTGCTAATAAAACCAGCAGTCAGATCGAGACGGCATGTCATTAGTCATGTCATAGCTGTCAGTTCTTACGCTATACGTCAGTCTTAAGTCAACTGTCTTATCACCGAACTTCGAGTGGAGCTCCTGGCCCCGGTACTCCGTCCCTAGCGAGTTAGAGACCGAGACCATTGGACTCCCTGCCAAGGACCACTATCCTGCGAGCTGCAGTAGCGCCATCCGGTACTCCAGCGATCCAGCCACCGAGTCAGGACTAGACGGCGGCACTGCGACTTCCGTTGGACGGGAGGCTTCTGGGAGACCTCCAACCCTAGGGCATGCCACGGAACGAAGGTGTTCACGCACCGTCATCCGACCGGGTCGATCAAAAGAGACTGTCACCGATTACGGCCGCTGAACAAGCCAGGTAGAGGATTCATCGCAAGCTCGATTCATCCTCATTTTCATTCTCGTTTATTTATTAACCCTTCATCTTCGACCAAAATTGAATTCTAACCATTATCGCGATTTCCTTGCCTTACTCCGGTTAACCGGATAGATTAAGAATCCATCGACTTCCATTAAACAGCTGAGCTCGAATCTCAGCATCGCGAAATAGAATCACGTGCAGACCGCCATTGAAATGGTAAGAATTCCCGCGTCAGCACTCCGGCGTCCAGTAACCTGCCGCCGCTAAAGCGCGCTATCGCGACACCCGAACCGCCGCGACGCGGAAGTACACTAACCCTGAGAAAGTAGGTCAAGGCACCTCGTGTGCTCTTCACAGCTGACTGTAGTTTAGACCTCGCGCACGAATAAATATAACTCTTATCGCCACATAGCCTTTCGTTCGCATCCCCTTTTTATCCCTCACTCTCCTAGATCTCACCAGAGGAATTGATCTAGCCGCTCGGATCAATCTCCTCACAAACGCAAAACAAACGTTACGCGCAAGATTTGGGTAATCTCCATACGAATTACCCCGGCCTCGCATCCGCTCGGCCGCTCCGTAACAGTATGTATGTATGTGCGTGTGTTTCTTAAATACCTTGGCTATCTCCTAGAAGTGTCGTCGGTTCCGAAACTTTAAGAAAAAAGTATTCTTGAACGAATCTTGGAAACTTAGAAAAATGGTTGAAATAAGCGAAATATCGAGATCTACAGATTTTCCGAGAGTCTCCGTTGTGAATATTGAAGTCAAAGAAATCGCAGTCCAAATGACAATAAGTTGTGTAAGAAATCCGAATGACAAGTTGAAAAATAAGTAACGCTCGCTGCTGAAACGCTGGCTTTTATATTATTTCCACCCCCGTCGCTTGAGGCCCAAAATTC